GGATAAAGTGTACGAGCAGCGGCAGGCTAGTAGCAGCCTTATAAGTGGTATTATAAGGACAAAACTTACAAACCATAAGAGAAAATACACTCCGAGGGACATTATTGATGATGTGAAATCAGATCTAGGTGTTGATGTTAGCTACATGTTGGCGTGGAGGTCTAAAGAAAAGGCAATGATTTTTCTTAGAGGTGAACCGGCTGGTTCATACAAAAAAATTACCAGGATACTTATATACAATGGATAAGACATATCCAGGTTCTCACATAAGAATGGAAAAATCATCAAAGAATGAATTCATGTGCGTGTATATATCATTGTATGCATTTATAAGGGGGTTTGATCATTGTAGACCAATTGTTGTAGTGTACGGAAGTCATCTAAAATCCTACTACACCGGAACATTCGTTTCTGCAAGCACGTTGGATGGTGCAGGTGAGTACCTCAATAATAATACAATTTGTTAATATTTAAAGCATTGGAAAACATGTATTTAAAAACAATTATATTCAATTGTATTAAACATGTCATATATTGCCACTAGCATAACGTGTTATTGATTCAGAGAACGATGCTGCTTGGACGTGGTTCTTTGAGCAATTCAAGATAGCATACGATGTAAGGGAAAACATGTGCATTGTTTCGGATAGAAATGAGAGCATCATTAAATCTGTATCGAGAGTGTATCCGGATGTACCGCATTGTGCTTGCATATGGCATCTATGGAATAACGTATACAAGAAATTCAAAAAGAGCCATGCCAAGTTGAGTGAGATATACTTCTCGATGGCAAAAGCATACACACAAACTGAATTTGATAGTCTGATGGAGAAGGTTGAGAAGGTAGATATTAGGGTGAAAGAATACTTAGAGTTAGCTGGTTTGTGGGCTAGGTTGTATGCACCTGTTAACAAGGGATGGACAATGACGTCAAATATCGCTGAGTCAATCAATGCATCACTAGTTTCAGCAAGGGAATTGCCAATATATGACTTCCTCGAAGAAGTTAGGAAGATATTTGGTCGTTGGAATTGTAGTAACCGTAAAGAAGCTACTCAGACATACAAGACGCTTGGGAAAAAATACCAGGAAATGCTGGAGTTGAATGAGACCATGTGTACCCGTATGACTGTAAGTTAATTTTTTATGGCATTGTTGTATACAACTGAATACA